AGTACAAGGTATATTGTAAACATTTTGGTTGATTTCCTCTATAGTTGACCTTATAATTCCTGCGAATTCTATTCATATTAATTAGGCTCTTTTCAAACTTTCTTTTCATTTGCAAGTTTCTATGTATTTTCTTTGTGTTAGCTCTTTTCCATAGCTCAATACTGCAGTAGATGTCCTACTATTACAAACCATTCCAGGCTAATAATCTCAATGAACCAAGAGAATAAAAGTCTAATGAAATACTTTTATTGGCTGATGAATTATTTGTTTCGACAGTGTTAGGTAGGAGAAATAATATGCAATTAGAGCCAGAGACCTAATTGAGAACTCGTAGAAGGCAATTGTAACTTACTGGGACTATATATTTTTAATTCAATGTACCTATGAGGCTTTGGAAATTATATAAAGTACAAATTGTGTGTTACATACCTGGCATGTAAGAAACACTTGGCTTTTTTTTACAATCTAGGATTTCTAAAAATAAGTAAAAGTTTGTGTTCAGTTAGAATAATAATTTTTAAATGTAAGTTGCCAGTGAAATTAGCTGAACATGTAGCCTTTGCAAAGTAATTGCAGTCCTTTGATTCTCATGTGAAGCCATGAGTTTTATCTTTTGACTCTCTGTGACTATTGGAAAGTTGCCCTCTTAGAGGAATAGCATAAAGCATGCATCTGAAGCATTTAAAACCCAAACCCGTAGCCACCAAGTAGATTCCAACCCATTGCCGCCCTCTAGGACTGAGAGGAGTTGTCGGTTGAGTGTCCAAGGCTGTAACCCTTTACAGAAGCACACTGCCTCCTCTTTCCCTCCTGGAGCAACTGACGAGTGTAGTCAAACGACTGATGACCTCGGTTGGCAGCCCGAGGGCTTAGTCAGCAAGCCACCAGGACTCCCTGTGAGCAATAAGGAACTGTATCCAAAATCCAGTACAAGCACAAAGATTTCAAAAACCCGATTTTTGTTGACCAAATTGTAGTTATCAGTTTAAATCAAATCCTAAATGGTAAAAAAATCATGACAAGCCAAAGTTATATTTACTGCTCAGTCATTATCATTTACAAAAATTCTGTATGAGTTGAACATACTTAGAATTATATACATATACTATTGTTATGACAATATATAATTGATCAAGGATTCATGAGGGTGCAAGGTGGGAGAGGGAGGGGAAAACAGAGGAGCTTATATCAGAAGCTCAAGTAGAAAATGTTTTGGAAATGCTGATGGCAACATGTACAAATGTAGTTGATCCAATTGATGTATGGAATGTTATACGAGCTAAAAGTAATAGAATGATTTACAATATATATATTAATGTAACTTTAAAATGTGCTTTAAATTCCAGGAGCAATATGAATTATATTGTGAAATGGGCTCCACTTTTCAGCTCTGTAAGATTTGTGCAGAGAATGACAAAGACATCAAGATCGAGCCTTGTGGCCATTTGATGTGCACCTCTTGCCTTACAGCCTGGCAGGTAAACCTGTGCTCCATTAGAGATGTGGACGTCTTCTTTCTGTTCTCTGTGCTAGTTCATGTTTCCTCGGCATAATGTTGAAGAAGTGATGCTGTTAGGTTAGGTTTTTTTATTTCAAATGTTATTAAAAATCTCAACTGTTATTTATTTTATATAGGTAATCTGTTTGCTTTGTCTTATATTTTGTTTGCACGTTTAACTTAATCTCATTATATTAGCTTTATTTGCTTTTATAGCAGGGTTGTTTTAAGCATGCTATTATACAAATTACCAGTTACTCATATTTACATTGGTTAAATTCTGAAGAAATGTAAAACCCAAAACTCACTACCATCAAGTCAATGCTGACTCCTAGCGACCCTTGTGGGTGTCTGTAACTGTTTATGGGAATGGAAAGCCCAGTTTTTCTCCCTAGGAGTTGCTGCTGGTTTCAAACTGCCAACCTGTGGAACGCAATCCAACGTGTGTCCAACGTGTATCCATTGTACTACTGTACCACTGTACCACCAGGGTTCCTCTAAGAAAACCAGATAAATAGACTTTATGTTTGTGTTTCCAGCCAACCTCTTTTTCTCCTCTGG